CACGAGACGCTGACTGGGCCTAATGGAGAGATCTATCCCACGCTGGAGGAACAGACGACCCTGCGCCGCGTCCACGGCAAGGTTTCCTGGCTGATCTACAGTATCGGGTTCGTGGAGATGTGTGAGCGGTTCGCGTACTACGGGACCACCGCAGTCTGTGAGTCAATGGCCGATGCGCAGGAGCTTTCTCTTCGCTGACAGGCCTGCCTTAGTCGTCAACTTCATCGCGTATCCTCTCCCCCCAAGCTCGACGACTGGCGCGGGCGGTACTCATGAACAAGCTGGCGCGCTTGGCTTGGGCCAGCGAGCGTCTACGGCCCTCACGCTGTTCAACACTTTTTGGTCCTATGTTATGCCGTTAGTCGGTAGGTTCAAGAATTCCACTCAGCTCACTCTTTGAAAAGGTGACTGACGTCCAATAGGTGGCTACCTCGCCGATACTTACTGGGGCCGCTACCTCACCATCCAATACGCAATCGTCGTGGCGACTTTCGGCCACATTCTGATCATCATCGCCGCTATTCCCTCCATAATCTCCAACCCAAGCGGTGCGCTCGGAGCCTTTATCATCGGCTTGGTCTTCTTCGGAACCGGTGTGGGATGGTTCAAGGCCAATATCAGCCCCTTGATCGCAGAGCAATATGAGCTCACACAGCCCCGCCAAACCGTCGAGACCTTGCCTTCAGGAGAACAGGTCATCGTCGATCCCGTCATGACCATCTCCCGCGTCTACATGCGCTACTACTTCCTCATCAATGTCGGCGCCCTCGTTGGCCAGGTGTCCATGGTGTACGCGGAAAAGTACGTCGGCTTCTGGCTGTCGTATCTCCTTCCCACAATCATGTTCTTCTGCTGCCCCGTCGTCATGGTTCTTTGCCGCAAGCAATACGCCAAGCGCCCACCCACCGGCTCAGTCCTCGGAAAGTCGATCGCACTGGTAGGCTACGGCATCAAGCAAGGCCACGGCGGCGTCTTCGCGATGCGCAAGGACTCCTTCTGGGAACGCATCAAGCCCAGCGCCGTGCCCAACCGCCCGTCCTGGATGACCTTCGACGACGCCTGGGTCGACGAGGTCCGCCGCGGCGTCATGGCCTGTGCCGTCTTCCTCTGGTTCCCCGTCTTCTGGCTCGCGTACGGCCAGATCTCCAACAACCTCATCAACCAAGCCGCGACGATGCGCCTCGACGGGCTGCCCAACGACATCATCACGAACCTCAACCCCTTCGCGCTGCTCATCTTCATCCCCATCTGCGACAAGCTCATGTACCCGGCCATCGAGCGCGCGGGGCTGCGGTTCACGCCGATCAAGAAGATCGCCGTCGGCTTCCTCTGCGCGACGCTGTCGATGGTGGTCGCGGCCGTGATCCAGCACTTCATCTACGTGCGGGCGCCGTGCGGCCGCAGCGCCGGCGACGTGGAGTGCATCCGCGAGCGGGGCCCGCCGGACATGACGGTGTGGATCCAGACGCCGTGCTACATCCTGATTGCGCTCAGCGAGATCTTTGCGTCGATCACGGGGCTGGAGTATGCGTTTACGAAGGCGCCGCGGAACATGCGCGGGCTGGTGACGGGCGTGTTCTGGTTCGTGCACGCGTTCTCGAGCGCGATTGCGCAGGCGTTTGTTGGGTTGGCTGCTGATCCGCTGCTGGTTTGGCTGTACACCACCATTGCCATCATCAGCTGTTTGGGAGGGATCGGGTTCTGGTTGACTTTCCGGAAGCTTGACAAGGAGGAGGACGCCCTCAATGCGCTGCCGGAGAGTACTTACAAGGGACGCGGGGAGTCTAGCGTCGAAGAGAAGTCGGTGTAGAAGAGGCGCGGGTGAAATTGGCGGGCTCTTAATTCTCGGGAAGAAAGCATCAGCAATTGGACTTTCGGAAAGGCTTTCAATCTTCTATGTTGCTATTCAGTATTTGCACCACTCCTCAGCATCTTATGTTGATCAACTTCTGCGTTCGACTTGAGTAATAGTTAAGTCGAGCTCACAGGAAACAGTTTGACATAAATTTAGCTGTGAAACTTCCCAGGCCACCCACCCGGTGCAGGTTCGGGGCATCCGGAACACGCTCGGTCTCGGTTTCCGACATGAGACCAGATACCCCGGGGTCCAAAAGCTATCGGATGAAAGGGCCTCTTAAACAGTTCATCTCATCTGCCACAATTAAGTTCATCTCAGAGCTCAGCCGGTAATTCAAATCTTATATCATCTTCAAAGGAAATAAAGTAAGAAAAGAATAGACTTACGTGGTGTGTTGAGGCGCAGGCAGCTGACCACAACAAATGTCTCACAAGCCGGCAGACAGAGACACGAGGGGCGGAATCTCAGGGGTCTCGGCTCGCTGCAAGTGATGCTGCGGCGCTAATTGCGGACAGCTCCTGCAGAACCCCAAACCCCATAGGGAACCGCGTCAGGCGGCACGTGCGCCATGTTGTCACGAGCTGAAATGAGCTGAGCTGAGCTCTGAGGTACCTCGCCTACCTACTGAGTGAGCCGACCGCATCATCTCGCGAACGAAACACCAGGCTTCACCTCTCAAGACTCCGTCTCACCACGAGACTTTTGTATCTCAAGAACCTGTGAGCTTAGGAACCACCACCAGTATGGCATCCTGGCCCCCGACGCGCTGGCCGGTGCCGATCCACGTCTTCTCCTACCGCGTCCTGCTCGTCGTCCCCGTCCTCCTCGCCATCGCGACTTTTGCCGCGCTCTTCATCCACTCCGACGTCAACATCGCCCTGCTCTACTCGCAATGCGACTCCCGCGCCCGCCTCCCCGCCATCAGCAAGGTCCCCGTCTTCGGCACTCCGGTCTGCTTCGCCATCAGCTTCTTCCAGAATGCCCTTGACTCGGCCCGCACCTTCGCCAGCATGTCCGCCGTCCTCTCCTTCATCGCCGGCCTCATGACTGTCACCACCGTCGAGGCCGCCCGCATCTGCAACGCCCCCAACGTCCTCATCGCGAACCCCACGGGGCCCTGGCTGGTCTTCAACCTCATCGGCGGCGCCGTCGTCTGGGAGCTCGTCATGGTCCCCGCCTTCTTCCACCGCTCGCGCTCCATCTACCTCGCGCGGAAGAAGGCCGGCAAGCAGGTCGTTGAGAGCGCCGAGTCCAAGGACCCGGACTTCGGCAAGCACGCGCGCCATCTCAACGTCGACGCCGAGATCGTCGCCATCCCCGTCAGCGTCGCCTGGGGCTTCGTCCTGCCCTCCATCCTGATGCTCATCTACAACTCGCCCGCCACCGTCGCCGTCTGGCTCTTCTTCCCCGTCTGGGTCTCGCTCGTCCGGCAGGCTGTCCGCTGGGGCGTGCTGCGTCTGCAGAAGCGCCAGCGCCGCAGCTTCCACCTCGAGTCGCACACCGTCTCGCTGCTGCTCGTCTACATCGTGCCCATGGTGTGCTCCGTCGTCTCGCACGTCTTCCTCATCTGGAGCCTGTTCCAGCGAGACGACCGGAAGGAGATGACGCGTGCGACTGTCAAGTTCATCGAGATCGACGTCACGTTCATCGGGTTTACGGTTCTGTACTGGCTGCTCGTCGAGGGTGGGTGGAAGGTTGCGTTGGTGGCTGTTGCCGCGGCTATTCCCCTCGGCCCTGGCGCCGGAATCTGTGTTGCGTGGATCTATCGTGATAGTGAGATTCGTGAGCATCTCAAGAACTGGTTGGCTGGAGAGCACGGCAATGAGGAGAGCAGCGGGGAGGCCAGGACTGGCACTGATGAGGAGACGCCGTTGTTGCGATAGAGGGCTTGCTGTTGAGCTCTAGTGACACGCCTTTGCTATTACAGAATGAATCATTCCATGAGTTTATACCCACAACTCACAACTTCCCCTTGATATGAGATCCGAATGGCTCCGTTTTCTTACTCAACACCACATAGTTCACCTCCGACTTTGCATGGACTGTTCCTACCACGCAAGTATGTCACGTTCGCCGATTTCGCCGATTTCGCCGTTGCTCCGCTTCTAAAGTCTTCTTGGAACATTAATAGTTCATGCTGCTGGAGCACACACTTCATCTATAACAGACTCTCTTCAGGAAGATTGCTAAGTACGAAGGGTTCACAGCCTTTCCAGCGCAGCTATGCAAGTGAATATGGCATAGAAGGCTTTTCAACAAACCGGGCCCTTGGAGAGTCGTTTTGGCGAGTTCGACTTACTGGCCCATGTTCTAGCGCTCGGGGCTCACAGTCATACTTTAAGAATGTCCTCGGGCAACTTTCAAGAAAGCGAATCCAGGACGTTTCAAATGAGCACAGAGAGTGCACACACATACTGGGGAGCTTTCGGGTTTTATATACACTCACAACTATCCCTCGCGAACGGGAAAGAAGGACGCCCTACCGGAAAAAGGGTCCATCATGACTCGCGATACCCTCGACACCACCCTGGCGTTGACGTGACGTTGCCGCCCTTGGCTCGGAAAACTCCGACATCGCCCAGAGTACCGTGGCCACGCGAGGAAGATGAAGTCTTCGGATACCACCACAACTATTTTAGGGGCTATGGGTGCATCCGTGGTCATGCGTGGGTATAATTCTCGGGTACCTATGTCCGGATAAGGAACGTCTCATGCGAGACCGAGCCGGAGCCCTGGTTGAGGAGTGACCCGCTCGCCGGCGACGTTTGGTTCCATGCGAGGGCAGAATGCGGAGCTGCTCCGCCAGGCCGGTGGAAGAGCAAAAGATTACTGAACAGTAATTATAACGAGTGTGTCAAAAGAAAAGTACAAGAGTCATGCTTCGTCGTGGCAAGTCCGTAACGTGGACAAATAAATTAATATCTTTTCAGGACCCTAGCACTGAATGTGTTGGATTCGCGCGAGATATCTCGATCGTGATAGATGCTTCTCCGTGGCTTACTCGCACAGATGCGTTGCCTTTTAACACTCATTCAGGGGGCGTATTGTATAAGAAATGGGTTGAATCTCCTGTATCCCTCGCCACACCCTAACCTCTTCGGACATCAGTAATCACAAACATCACAGTCTTTACCTACCCATCATGACTCCTTCGGTGCACGCTGCCACGTTTTTCATTCTCTCAACCTTTCATTTTTGGCATGTCTTCGCAGTCCCGGGCCTCCTCGGCGTGGGTGAATCTGCACGCATTCATGAACGCGCCTTGACGAGCTGGGTTATGAAAGGATACGGAACCGAATCGTCGTGTACTCAGGAACAAATCGACCAAATCGAGCCTGCAGTAGAGTACGCCAAGATTCTAGCCAAGGCTGCCATGACGGCTTTGGAGGATGTAGGGACATCGGGGGTGGCGTATCGGCGCTGGTTTGGTGGTGAGTCGTCGGATAAGCTATTCCTTAAATTTTCGTCTCATTGCGAGGTTCTTTTTCTGCCTGAAATCTTGCCATTGCGCTTCGACTGGAATGGAACTAATGCTACAAGTAATTTAGAGAACAACACTAGCGAAAACACCCTCGCATCCATCAAGGCAAACCATTACGAAGCTGTGATTTCGGGACTGCGAGCACCCGAATCAGGAACAGTCAAGTCTGAAGACGAAGGCGGCCCGGACAAATCAAGACTGGTGTTTTCCTGTCCTAATTCGGAACATCCCGTGTGCGAACCGAACCCCTATGCAGGGACAGAGCCGATCGCCGGCATGCTCAATGCCGGCGAAGTTTACGACAACAATGTGATGCGTCTCTGCCCCCCCTTTTTCCGCCAGGTCAGCCACTCGCAGATGCTTGTCAACTGGCGAGATTGGAAAGAAGGCGACCTGCGAACATCAGCAGGCTTCACACTGCTTCATGAAATGCAGCATCTTGATGCGATAGTTGGCAAACCCAATCGTTGCGCTGACCACGCGTATTCAGTTGCAGAGTAAGTTACTCTCTTGAGATGAGGCTGTTCGAGAACAGAATAATAGAGCCTGAGCCATGCTAAATACCGAACAACGTAGCTGTGAGAAGCTTTCTAGCGTTGAAAGACTGAAGAATGCGCAGACCTTTGCATACTTCGCGCTGGATGTGCTTGTGGACCCACCAAGCCCGAGCAAGTGAGCGCATGGAAAATAAGGACGTTTCTTCGACTCGAGTGGACGACATGCATGAGCGGCTTCATCAGGCCGTACATCGTCTTCGCCGCGCCCAGCGCCCAGTTGCACTCCTCAAAGATGGCCAGCATCACACCGCCGTGGCAGGAGCCCTCGCGGAACGTCATCAGTCTGTGGCCCAGGGCAAGGAGAAACGAGACTTTGGTGATGAAGCGCGACTCAAGTGGTTGCTTCTCAAGGTCTTGTTTAAGGACGTCGTGGGCGTTGTCTGCCGCTTCGACTTGCGCAGTAGGCGTGTGCATGAAGGCGATGAAGTAAGGATCGTTGCCACCGTGTTCACGATGACGGCGAAGAATTCAAAGGCATGTCCTTGTAGGTGTAGGCTCGGCTGATGAGGGGTCTGAGGATAGGGTCTGGGTCAGACAGGGTTTTGCCGCACCAGGATACGGAGTCGAAGTGCGCTAGCTGGTCTTCCCAGGCGGCCATGTTGGTACAGATTGAGAGCCAGCCACAGCTGTTTTGTTGGAGGCACGGCGAGTGAGGCGGATCTCACAATGAGGTCAAGGTTGTGAAGATGACCCAACTTGGGAAGTGTGTCTGACACCAATCCAAATCAATGATCTGGAAGGCATCAACTACATCTTGGCAGATAATGGGGGTATAAATCATGTCGCTCTCTAAGTCTATATATACCATCTAATACAGACCAAGCCGATCAAGCATCGACATTGACACCTAGTCCCTGAACGTCCTTCTTCGTCGAGATGTAAAACTGACTGTCCTTCCCGACAGCTTCCTCCTCAAGCTGCAACCCCTTCAAAGCCAGATCGCGCGTTTGCGCTGCTTCCCCGAGCTTGGACGCCATCCGCGCAGCAGCAATGTGCATAGTCGCAGCCTCCCGGCCTCGAATGCCCTCCATATCGTACGCCTTCACCAAAGCCAGCATCAACTCGAACTCAGCCCTTGGGTCCTCGGACGCAGCCTCAGCAAACTGCTGCAACTTGGCCGCAATCTCCGCGCGCCTCGCCTCTCCAGCCTCTGCGGTCTCAGAATCGCACGCCGAACAATCACACAGGAACCCATACCCGTCCTGGAGGTGGTCCTGCCTTGCCTGCCGCAGCCCGAGGTGCTCATCCAGATAAGAGATGGTGATCTCCTCCTCCGGCTTGATGTCCCGCGTCGCATGGACCGTGAAGGCGTCCAGCTTCTTGTTGAAATTGCCCTGCGCGTTCGGCACGCACGAGTGGTTCAGCCGCGCGACCTGCGGGAAGAGCGCCTGCGTCTCGTTGCCGATGTTGAAGTTGTTGTTGCGGAAGATGTTGAGGATGGTGTGGTTGAGCACCGTCCGCCCGGGGCTGGTCTTGCTCTGCCACAGCGACTCCGCCCAGCTCAGCACACCAGCCTTGCCGGGGTTGAGCGACAGCGACAGCAGCGACTTCTGGCCGGCCGTTGGGAGCGCGTGCGCTTGCCGGAGGATGTTTGCGCTGGTCTCGGAAGGGAGGAGAGTGAGCAGGGCCCGGTCTGCGAGGACCCGCTGGCCCCGGGGGATGGGCTTTGCGGCGAAGACGCCGAGGCCTTTGCCGGCGGCCTGCCGGACGGTGAACATTGGGGAATTGGGGCGGTCTTTTTGCGACGGCTGCGGGAGAGAAGGGGGCGGCGGACGGGGAGGAAATATTTTTGTCGTCTGCCTTCCTGCCGGAAACGGAAAGGTCAAAGGGGGCAGACGGCAGCTGGCTAAAAAAGGCAAGGGGGCACCCGACTCGCCGCCTCCGGGGCGAAATTAGCGTCTCGGAACGGAATGCAAGGGTCCTCGCCTTATCGTGTGTTGTTTCGTGTTCCGACGGCTCAATTATTTGCGCGATAAGGAACTTTGCCTTTTGGTCTCCAGACTCAATCAACTGTGTTTGTTATGAGGAGCTTCTGCAACTCGTTAGTTCCACATTTCAATACAGAAAATTGGAACTCTCCGCTCTGGACATTGCTCAACTCAATTGGCAACTATCGTCATCAACTCTTCAACTAAAATGCAGCTTGAGCTGCGAGCCCCTGCCAATATTCTACTTTTTCTAAGCCTGTGCACTGTAGTGCTGATCAGTCGCTCCCTCTACTGAAGTTTTCACTCAGTGCGCCCAGCAATCGGAAAGGTCTCTTCTTACCCGGGAAAGCCACGGGACAGCCATAATCTAAACGCCCAGAAACAGGGTCAAAAGCAATTTCGGTCATTGCATTTGGGTGCATCGGTCGAGGTCTTGTTATCCATCATTTGATCATCTTCTCGAAAGCGGCTACAAGTTCCTGCCACCTTGTCAGCGTTGCCGTCATTCCACATTAGCATCATGAACTCACATCAAAATTACAATCGCTCATTCTCTCAAAGACAGCTTCGTTCTTCCATAACTGCATGCTGCTGATGCGCGGTGTCTTGATGCCAAATGCTACGCACGCCATGAATCGGGGATCGTTCTTCGCGGTACTGTTGGCCAAGGCCTGCTTAGTAGCGGAGGGCGTCTTGCTCGACTTCGCCTTCCGCGCTTCATCGCTACAGAGGGCTTTGCAGACGCTTGCAATGTTCTTCATGAGATCCTTGTCGAGCGGCTTCGGCTTGAACTCGGGCAAGACCACCTGCTTGTGCGTCTCGCACCAGGTACAGTGCCCACACTCCTCGACCGACGCGTGGGTGGTATCGGCAAAGTAGGCCGCCAGGGCGCGCGTGATGCACTTTGTACCTGTCAACAGGTTGACGAGGTCCTGGACCCGCTGGAGATCTTGCTTTTCCTTCTTGGTGATTTCCTGATCGATGTTATCGATCATTGCGTCGATCTCCGGCTGGCTCTTGGGCAGCGCCTTCTTGAGCCGGAAAACGTTCTGGACGCCAGACTTTTGGAGTTTGACGACCCCGGATTCGGCCCAATGGTCCAACTTTCTTGTGATGTCGCCTCGGTACAGGTGCTTGCCATCCGCAACATCATCGATCTCGATAAATGTCCATATTTTCGCCGTTCGGCATCCCCGGCGTATCGCTTTTGCTGCTGGTGTATCGTCGTCGTTGTACTCCTGTCGCTGAAGCACCTGATACTTGTATTCAGAATATTGTGGCGTTCCTGCTCGAAGTAGGCCGAATTTGAGCTCCAGGTAAGCGTAAATAATGGACAATTGCGTCTCCTGCTGGTCGTTAGTGACTGTTGCCTATTCAAGGACGATGTTCCAAACCTTGATATCAACTCGTTTGGACTGCATAGTGATCCCCACGGAAAAAGTCTCGCCAGGAGAAAGCCGACAGTGCTCCTCATCGCAAATCTCCTCGAATAACGCGCGTAGAGCCAATCTGGAAGGGCGTTCTCCATGCACGAGCACGTTCCTTAGGAAGAAGTCCTTGTCGGAGAGATATAGCATGCATGTACTTGGTTTACCGTCTCGACCGGCTCTCCCAATCTGTTGGCTGTACGCTTCGATGCTGCTGGGAAGGTCAAAGTGGATGATAGTCCGGACGTTCTCCTTGTCGATTCCCATGCCAAAAGCAATCGTGCCAACAATCTGCGAGGAAACATGGTTAGAAAATTGATCTGGGACATGCTTCCTTCGTTTCCCTAACTCACAATCATGTCGGTACTGCGTAGAAATTTGTCTTGGATGTCGGATCGCACGTCCTTGTCCAACCCTGCGTGATACGGCTTCGCCTTGAAGCCTTTTGCAACCAGCGCCTTAGACAGGGCTTCTGTGCCCTTGAGCAACCAAAGTAATCAGCACAATCCTTCTCGCGAATTCTGCAAACCTACTGCGTGTGTTGTAACATAGATGATTGACGGTCCTGGGTGTTTCTTTAAAAAGCTAGTGCAGATCTTGACCTGATCATCCTTCTCGTTGATAGCTTGAACACGAAGATTGAGGCTAGACGCGTTAGACTTGCTTCTCAGGGAGATGGACCGGACGGGCACTAACTTTGAACGATACATGCTTGTGACGAAGAGGCCTTCCGGGGGGATGTTGAATGTGTCGCGAATATCCTTTGCGACAGCCGCCGTGGCAGTCGCCGTGAGGCAAACCACTCGTTCGACGTTGGCTTCCTTGGCGAAACGAGCAACTGCAGCATTTGGTAAGAAATAAGTGGCCAGGTTGAAGATCTGGATGGCACTCACTTTTGAGGTAGTCTGGTCGGAAAGAATGACCCCACTGCAAGTACACGTCAGCATATGCGGTAGAAAGATGAACACAGGATCGACGACCGTACCTCTGAAATACAATGAGCCTCGTCAATGGCGAGGAGGCGTATGCCGCCACGGATGGCTTGGAGAGAGGCGAGGAAGCCCTCGTTGTTCAGGCGTTCTGGGGCGCAATACAATAGGTCGAGCTTTCCGCAAGATAACTTCTGATGAATGTCCACAAATGTCTCGCGGGTCTGTGTTGAATCAAGGACTGCGGCGCTGATACCTCGTCGTCGAAGGGCATCAACCTGATCCTTCATCAATGCGATCAGAGGAGAGATAACCACAGTAACTCCACTCTCCTCGGGGCTTCTGGAGTTTGTCTGACGGTCAAGCTCTTTGATAGCGACAGCTGGGACCTGGGTATCGTCAACAACCGTGAACATATGATACTGGCCGTGGGGATGCGTACCTGATAGCACAAACTCTTGCCTCCGCCAGTGGGAAAGACTACCACAGCACTTTCGCCACCAATGATTCGACTGATGGCTGCTTCTTGCTCCAGACGAAATGCGTTCAAACCGAACCTCTCCTTGAGTACTTTCTGGGCAAGCTCTGATGTTTGTGGTCCAGATCGGTGCTTCTTGGACATGGGCCCTTCAATGGCATCATCTCCGTCGTCTGGAGCCCGCTTAGCGCTGGGAGGGACACCGTCAGCAACGGCGAGGAGATCTGCCTCATCTGCAGAGTCAAACCCGAAGTCGTCGTCCATTGCTGCGCAGGCCTAGGTCGCTGAGATACAATCGAGATACGAACCGATCCAGGTAAGGTCGTGTTAGATCGTCTAGCTGGCGTGGGTGGGTTCGAGAACGGTCGTTGGCGTGCCAATTCGGGAAGGAGGGACCGGAGGGATTGGCCGCAGTGACGCGCTGAAGCTGCAGGCGCGGACGTGGAACGCGTAAAGCTGGCTTAGTCATCCGCTCAAGATATGCCCCACACTCTCCCCGAGCACGGGCACTCACACAGGCACTCACTCATTGAGGAGGTAGACTCATCGATCTCCTGATAATAAGGATGTGCTCGATTACCTCAAACATCATCTGTTCAAACACTTATGCATGAGACTTGAAGCTTGCCAACATTTGAAAATTTGAGGATTGAATGAAAACAAACTTTCATACCAGGCCTACGTAGCATCCGGGACCCGGTCTCCTCGGTCCTCGGCCAAGTCGGGTTCCATAGCATGCGATGATGGAGTCGAGTTTTGAGGTATGTGGAGTATGTGAAGATGGTCTGGAGTATGTGAAGATGGATCATGTGACTGAGCTTCTAGGGCGTTCAGAGCAAGATGCTCCGTTACTCGCGAAAGTCTTGACTCTTGGACGCACTGGTTCATTGACGGGTCATTTCCGCAGTGAATCGACAATTAATTATCCTCGACTTGTTTCGCCAACATTTGCCGAAAGCATGGTAATTGCGGCTCTGAAGATCAAGATATCGAAATGCTGCTGCCTGGCGGACTGATGGACGTGTCGTGCCGAATGATCCGCAGCCCCCGCGGAACATAAGAAATCAGGTTCCCCAAGCTGTCATGCGCTGTGCTTAAGTACCTTAGGTTAAAAAACGTTCCATGCTTCTCTGGAACGTTATTCAAGGTTTGAGCCCACTCCTCTTACTGCTCAACTTTTCAAGTAACGTTGGACGCAGGAACAAGCTCAATGATAATCCCACGCAGAGCTATCTCGGCCGAGTGTTCAACCAACAGTCGGCATGCCTGCTCTTTGCTGGGATTATTTCTGCCGTTCATCAGTTCAGCCTATCACAACCTTGACCTCCTCGAGGATAGTGGTTGTAACAAAGACTCATACTCACATTGGCTAGTTCGGACTAGACCCCGGTAGTCCCGCAGTGGCTCCTGACAGGGGTTGCGGGAGAAAGCGCACCAGCCCGTCCTGGCTTTTCTTCTTCTCCGCTTCGAAGCTCTGGCTCTCAATGTCTCTCACCACACTGCAGCTAGGTTGTGTCTCCTTTGCCCCCTCAGGAGGTGTCAGGAGCGCAGGTGGCTTACTTTGACGAACAATCTCTCGGCAAAGCCTAAACATTGGAGGCTGGCTTGTGGGTTTCTGCTGCCTCCACACACCGGGGCGGCCACAAGCGATGGCTCGGAAAGGCAGCCGGAAAACCAGAACGGGATGCATCACCTGCAAGTGAGTGTGCCTGGGCGGCCGCCGTCCGTTATCACACCGAGATGCCTTCTCCGTGACGGTGCGAGACACTCGTAAGGGGCTCCGGTCTAACGGTTGCCAGAATTCGCAAAGTCAAGTGCGACGAGACGAAGCCGGCATGCAACCGCTGCATGGCCACCGGCCGCCACTGCGACGGCTACTTGCCCACCGGCAGCATGTCAGCAAGACACACAAATTCAGCTCTCCGCTTGTATCGGCCAGAAGGATTTCCAGGGATAAGGACCGCTGGAGAGAGCCGAGCTTTGCAGTACTTCTGTCAAGAAGCTGGCCCGCAACTGTCAGGCGCGGTAGACCCCCTTTTCATGTCGAAACTCGTCATGCAATTTACTAGCTACGAGCCTGCTGCTCGACACGCCGTCCTAGCCATCAGCACTCTCACCGAGCAACTACACGGCGGCACTTGTGGTCCGTTGGTCCGAATACAGGACCAAGAGTTCGCACTTCATCATTACAATGCTGCGATCAACGACATTAGGAAGCTGAAGTCACCAGAAACACATCCAGTGGTGCTGCTTGTGTGCATCCTCTTTATCTGCATCGATGTCCTGCAGGAGAATCGAAAGATGGTCATTCAGCACTGCAAGCACGGGTTTGCCCTTCTCAAGCACACTACATTCGAATACGCCTGGACAAAGCAGTATCTTTTGCCTCTCTTTCGAAGAGTCGCCGCCACCTCGTTCATATGGGCAGATGACCCTTCAGATTTCCCGGACCTAGATGGCCTAGAGCATCCCATGCCTGATGGATTCTTCAACTTTGCCGATGCCCAGGCCATGATCGATGATGTCTTCAGCCGGACGCTTCGACTCGTGCGGCGAGGGGATCCGTATCGCATTCGTCCAGAAACGAATGGGGCACCGCCCCAAGAATTGTTAACCGAGCAAAGCCAAATCAGACGATTGCTGGAACAGTGGGAGCTGCTAATGGAAGATTTCGAGGCTCGTCCGCTGTCCCCGCCTGGGAGAGAGTCCCCGACGACAGAGAACTTGACCAAGACCCTCCGATTCATTCTCCGCTGTCGCTTCGAATCCTGCAAGATATGGTTGAACATGGCGTTAGACCCAGAGGTCTACGATCACGCCAAGCACATGGACACCTTCGTCGAGATGTTGGAAGATCTCGGGGTCACAGATCCTGAATTTCTCGATGGGTTTCGACGGTCACCAAGTTTTATGTGCGATGCCGGCTATGTGCCCATGATCGTACTGACATCTGCAAAATGTGCCCATTTGGAGTCAAGGTTGTCGGCTTTGAAGTTGGTACCGGTCCCAGGACTGCCAAGGGAGCTTTTGTGCCTTCCAGCGCACGCATGGGGCTGCCCGGAAGTCAAGGACCTGCCTCAAGTAATTCAAACCTCGACGGAGGATGCCGATACAGCACCTAACGATGTAATGGAAATGAGTACATAAGATTGATGAACGGACAGTATTTCTCAAGCTATGATGAGCCGCAGGTGGTTTGAATTTACCTGCAGTATGCAGTTTCTTCCTCACAGCGCCTGCAGATGGACCTGGTCTGCGCATGCATTTGTTCCAAATCAAGACGAAGATCCGCCTCCTGCCTCAAACGGCAATCGTATCTGGTGAACCACCAATGGGATCATGTGTCTCTCCTGCCGCCTACAACTGCGTATGGCAGGCAATGCACCTAAGATGAGCATCGTGCTGCTTGTGGAGACACTGATTGAACAGCGCTCAACACTAAGACACTGCATGCATCTTAGGAGTGGAAGGCAATTACTCCGACCACCAGGCTGATACTGTGACAATCAAACCACTCAGCCAGCTTTGCTCAAATGATGGGCCTGCTCCTGGAAAATAATCGACACCAATCAACTTGAACGTCTACAGAGCTGAAGCAGCCACGCAAACCCCCTGCAGGTCGGTTCGGCAGACAAGGGTAGATGCCGAAAGACAACCCGAGGCACGGGTCCTCAGTCCGAACCGAAAGTATTCAGTGATATCTTGAATTGAAATGTTTTGGACATTTAATATAACTAGACGGACATCGAATCCCATCTCCGAAGGCCAGTATCGGTCCCCCACTGCCGGTAGCGGCGCGACTGATACCCACCGTCCACACGAGATCGCGAACACCGAGGGCCCCCAAAGCAGAACACAGGACATCTAATCGGACATCACTGATAATCCTCAAAAGTTTCTTCTTGGCATAGAGCTTATTATGTGTTCACGACATCCAATTTTGAGCCGCGTCAAGACGGCGTCGAAAGCAACGACAATAATCAATTCCTGGCCATCTTGAGATCACGTCCCCCAATCCTTTCGTGTCAACTCCCCGGGCCCCGCGAAGCGGCCCCGAGAGACCGGTCAAGATCAGCGGGGATGATGTAATCTACGACCGTCAGAATGAGGCTTAAAGGAGAATATCAACGGAATTTTCACTTAAAACTTTCGCATGGCTGTCTGGCCGGCTCAAAACGCCGGGAGGTTCGGTGGGGGCCGAGGTTCGGGACATCAGCTTTCGGCCCCGAATAGGGCCCACTTCGGTTCGGCACGGGTTGCTGTACAAGCACATAAACGCAGACATACATACCGACCCGACAAACGCCTGGCTCCCCCATTCATTCTCAATAACGACATCAACGGTGGATCTGGCAATTATACGGGATCGAGTCCACTGAAAAGAGACCAATCACATCGGCATTCGCAACCCTTCGGAGTGCAACTGTCTCTGAGCCAATCACCCACATACGATGGCTTGTCCCTTCAGCGACTCGCGTCGACTCTTCGTTGACCTAGCCTCTTCTCGAGACAGTGAAGGATTCCAATTCAGCGAGAAACTCGGTAGTTACGTTGTTTCTCGATACGATGATATCGTCTCAGTCCTCGACAGACCCGAACTTTTCAGTTCTCGGCCGACAGTGCCAGAGTTCCCGCCAATGGTCCGGGACCTGTTCGTCGACAAAGTACCAGAAAAGGGCACATTACTAGCACACGATAACCCTGACCACGATCGGCTGAGAAAGAGCGTCGCCTCCTTCTTTGTGCCACGTAGACTGGAACGATTCGAACCGATGCTTCGCGCCGCTGCCCATGACCAGATTGACAAGTTCGTTGATTCGGGCTCAGTCGAGATCAAGAGTCAATTTGCGCTTCCTGTACCATTGCGATGTATTGTGGTAGTTGCAGGGCTGGACCCGGCCAGATGGGAGTGGATCGGAGGTTGTCTCGCACTCTTCGGTGGAATCACCAAGTCTGAAGAAGCGCTCAGCATTCAGCAAAGAGTTCAAGACGTCTTGGATTTACACGCATATATCGCCAGCGTCATCGAGGAAAGAAAGAATGATCGGAAAGACGATCTCATCAGCCATATCTGGAACGAAAGAGACGCCGGAGTAGTAAAATTGACAGACTTCGAACACCTGAGCATGATTCCGGGGCTTCTTCTTGCCGGCCACGAGACTACGACCAATGTTCTTTCCATGGGAATGGCACATCTGCTCCATCAGGGCTTGTGGGAGCGGGTATCAGAAAGCGATGCGACCAGGTCAGCCGCCATTGAGGAACTCCTTCGTTACGAGTCGGCCATAACAGGAATGCCACGCCTCGTCACAAAGGAAACAAAATTGGGGGCTATGACCCTACAACCAGGCGACAAGCTGTTCGTGGCATACAACTCTGGCAGTCGTGACAGCACCAAGTTCGAGAATCCGGATAAAATCGACATGGATAGACGTTCCAAGACGCAGCATCTTGGGTTTGGGCGTGGCGTTCACGCTTGCTTAGGAGCCCCCTTTGCACGTCTCCTCCTAAGGACGGAGCTCAAGGTCCTCAGAGAGCGACTTCCTCAGCTTAAACTAGAGACACCGTACGAAGGGATCAAGTACAGCGAGGTCCATGAAGGGCGTGGCCCAGAGGCCATTTGGATCTCTTGGGACCCTCCAACTCACCATGATATTGCCAGTCGTGCTCAGAGCAATTCGTCAACAAAGATAGCAGCAAGGCCACACGACCAGAAGATGACCGTCAGCGAAATATGTCAGGTCGCAACAGATGTGATGCAGATAACACTGCGACCCATCAATGGCTCTGGGACACCGTGTTGGGCATCTGGAGCCCACATTGACGTCAAAGCAGGCCCATTTGGCTTTCGACAATACTCCATCTGCTCAAGCCCAGATGACCGAGATAGTCTGGCATTTGCTGTGTTGAAGACGAACAATACCGGAGCTTCTCACTTCATACATAACAGTGTGAAACAGAACCTTGAGCTTACTGTTCGTGGACCAAGGAACAACTTTTCCTTCCAACCAGGCTCACGAAGAACTGTGTTCGTTGCTGGAGGCATTGGGATCACCCCTATCAAGCCAATGGCAGCAGAAGCAAAAGCCAGAGGAGAAGACTACGCAATCATCTATCTCGGCCGCAAGCGCGATTCAATGGCGTTTGTGGAAGCAATGACCGAAAAGCATGCGAATCGCTGCATCACATGGGTAACTGATGAACATCATGGACAACGCTTCGATGTTAGCAGATACATTCGATCGCTAGATACGGAAGGCCTTCGGGTTTACTGTTGCGGCCCTGAAGCTCTTCTTGAAGACGTTGAAAAGAGCCTGAAGGGTGCGCCACCGGATGTTTTGCGACTGGAACGCTTTGCGATGTCTTCGGACTCTGGCAAAGAAAACACAGCGTTTGATGTTGTCCTTGGCCGGAGCGGTAAGGTCCTGCGAGTTTCTGAGGATGAGTCTATCCTAGATGTTATCAATGATGCAGGAGCTGGAGTAATTTCCACCTGTAACAAGGGCTTGTGCGGAACCTGTGAGGTCAGGGTCTTAGATGGGCTGCCCGAACACAGGGACGCAGTCCTCACACCTGCTGAAAGAGCTGATGGAACCACAATCATGACTTGCGTGTCAAGATGTCATGGAAGCAAACTTGTACTGGATCTCTGGTGAAATAGCTGATCGCGTCAGAGTATGAGGTCCTCGTTATTTCTTAATAATCCGAATTTGTTCAGGGGAAAATGGAAGACAACCTGTGGAGTAATAATGATAGTGTGTTTAGAAGCTATGTATTCATGCCACGCCCGGACGTAGGGACGTTTCCCTTTTTCTAGCTCATGCCAACTAGGCTCCTACAGAACCCGTCAAGGCTTTAGAGCATCGACTATGGACAAGGCATCACTCAGCCATGAAGTACAAAGTCTGTTAATGACACTTCAGATCTGTCACCAGTACTCCAAATGTATTTTCTGAGGGATATTGAGGCGACTCCATGGGCGTGCTGAGTACACAGAACCACGCCCGATTCAAGGCGCTCCGACGCGATCCTTTCTACTCTCCCTCTCAGACATGTATGCACGCCACTTGGGGTTGATTATGTACACGGGGATTCCAAGAAGGAAGATCACACCAAAGATCCCAGCGAGGACGCCGAATGCAGTCTGGTACCCGAACCTCTCGACCATTGGCGTCAACCCATAAGTCACGCCGAATGACACCACATTCTTCGTACCGACAACTACGACCAACGCAGGCCCGGGGTGCTTGGGAGCTGCTTCGGAAGCAAACGTCGTGGAAATGATGATAATCGCTGTGAACGAGTACTGAAAGATGGTCCAGCCCATGTAGGGTCCCCACCAGGTCGTCCCGCCAGAAGCAGTGTAACCATACAGCAACAACATACCGACGCCAACGACGGCAGGTGGTACCATTGTGACCAAGTGGTGCTCCGGAATGTGCACGCCTCGGTTACGGCGGGCAAGCCACATCACGAATGGGTTGCCAATGAATGTGCAGAACAGCATACCGAGCACGGCGCCAATAACGCCACCGACATTGATCAGGCCGATGTCAGCCGCTTGCCAGTGGTAGTTGTCCATCAACACAGTATTGTAAGTGAGACTCATGCCCACACCACAGCCTAAAGCGATGGAAGATGTGAGCACGGCGTAAATAATACCAGGGGAGGACATCGACTCGGCCATGTGCTTCCAGCTCATCAACATGACTCGAAGAGGTTGTGGATGGGGTGTAGACCAAGGCCTGATTCGCTGAGTATACGTCTTGCGCTGAATGGCACCAGCAGCGTTGCCAGCTCCTGGGGCCGTGAGTCCAGATCGATTCATCTCCTCGAGATACGCCTGCGCTTCCGAGTCGGGGATAACGCGGGTGACACCAAACTCGTCGGTAATAACGAGTTGACCGTCCATAGACTCGGGTGGGCGGGTGAACTGGGTCTCGAAAGCGAAGAAGAACGCAATCACTAGACCAACAGCTACAGTAATGACGAAAACCCAGTAATACCATCGCCAACCCAGGTCGTGGTTGATGTATGACGACGCAAGGTTGATAGTCGAGGAGATTGCATTCTGCGCCATCCAGTATAGCCCGAAGATCCGAGACCGTTCGTGGAGAAACGTGACTTCGGTGAGCATGAGCGGGAGGAGGGATTCCGAGGCACCAGTGGCTAGGCCCTGGACGATGCGTGAGGCGAGATGTCCGTTGTAGCTATTCTGCAGAGCAGCTGCAATGGTCGCAATCAAAAGGATGACCATGAATCCAAGGAAGACGGGGCGTCTGCCGTAGGCTAGCGAAAGGGGAAGAATGATGTAGTTTCCTGTGATTCGATGTCAGATCTATGATTGTCCCTTGCATAATGGACCTGGACCTTTCGAAGGAATAATCGAGACAACTTACCAAGGCCTATGCATAGAGTTGGGATCGTAATAAGAAGAACAATCTCGTCTGATGAATATCCTTGAGGGGTGTACATCTGGAAAAAGACGCTCAGGATGGCACCGAGTCCGCTTGCAATAGACAAGCCCATACTAGAAAACCAACAACAACAGAACACCAGACCGTACTTCTCCCATTTTCTAAAATTCAAAGGGTCGTTCGGGTCCGACGAGGGCACGGGAATCCGTCGAACTTCGCCATCCTTGTTTACAAGCAGGGCATTGCCATCAACGTGGGTATGGTTGTCTTTAGGATCTGGATTGAGGTCTTCGAGATGCTCGACGCGACTATCGATTTTGGTATCTTCTGGATTCGGAGCCGACGTGGCCATGTTGACGTTCTGGTAGTTGTCGGTTTCTAGGATTCGATCGAGTGTCTTTCAGTCGTCAATTTGGTCGATTCACAACTTGGAAACCTCGAATGCCGGCCTGCAACTCGTTACGACTGCGATTAACCGTCGCAACTGCAGGATACTGGTTGTCGCACACTCTTCGCTCGTTGTGAGGGAAAGACGCATACGACCATTATTCAACATATTGGCCAAAGCGGATCCAGTCTCTTTTCAATTTGATGAGCTGCTGCCATTTGATGGAGCGTTCGTCGGAAAATGGAGGTGAACACGGGCAAACCCCGTTCCCCGGTGGGGTTGAGTGAAGATCTACCCCGGACTTGGCACTAAACAATTCGGCTCGGTTGGTGAAGCACGATGCTATTCGGCTCGGAATCTGCACAACCAACAAGGCCTAGTGCCAAATGTATTACTTAAGAACCGAAAATGCGGCTCTTCCAAAGGCTTCAGATTGAACGACCGGCTATCTGTTCGATTATCGTAGAAACCTTGCAATGCAGTTTCCACGCCTCCTGGTTTTGGAGCGTTCTCGCCGAACTCGCCTGCTGCAACTCATTAGACAGTGGCGTCCCCTCAGAATTTGCCGTGTAAGTGGCACATTGATGAAGCGACTTCAGTTCACCACACGCGGAATCGAGTCAGAAGACTCGAGGGAAAACGAATCTACAAAACTTGCCAAATCAGGCTGCGGGCCGGGAAAAGCAAAGATCAAGCCAAAGCATGCAAGTCACGTCGTACAGGCACAGTGAGGCTTTCAATGTGGAACGCTCCATTGCTAGCAGAGTCGGTGAACACGCAAGCAGGGTGAGACAAGGCGTCTCGATATGCAATGAAAATTCTTTCGCTCGATCACAGAGCCGCACCGTATACATGCCACTGGTCTCCAACCCTGTAGCCAGTAGGGAAAGGGTCCTCGGGATCCAACACAACCTGCTTGTAGCTTGTAATCCAAGCCCTTCCCTTCACAGTTGGAATGATAGCATCTCGATCGCCAACCTTGACGGTTTCCTTAATACGGCACTCAAAAGCCGTGTCAATGACACTAGTATGCTTGAAGTCCTCACCGACAGCAAGCTGCCCCTTAGCATGAAGCAATGCCATGCGAGCGCAGGTGCCTGTTCCACAAGGGCTTCGATCCAGTCGGCCAGGCGAGACAACGACAGTGTTCTTGGCAATCTTCCCACCGACGCCGTTTTGCAGAGGCTCGGTGAATGAAAGCACCGATACTCCCGCGATTTCCGGGTTTTCAGGATGACGAGGGGTATAAATAGAACGAATGGTCTGCTTGATCCTTTCGCCAAGCTCAACAAGCTTTGCTGCCTGCTTGGGCTCAATACTAAGGCCAATTGACGCGGCGTCAACGATGGCATACCACATGCCGCCCCACGCGATGTCCGCGGAAACAGTCCCGATTCCGGGGACTTCAACGCGCAGGTCGAGCTTGTCGACGAACGCGGGAACATTGTCAAACGCCACATTCTTGCATTTGCCGTCTCGGCACTCCGCAGTGACACCGACCAGCCCTGCCGCCGTGTCGAGGGAGAATTTGGTCAGCGGCTCCTGCATGGGGATCATCCCTGTTTCCAATAGAACGGTCGCGGTGCAGATTGTGTTTGAACCGGACATTGGCGCATACTCCTCACTCTCCATAATCAAGAATCCCGCAGCGGCTTCTAGGTTGCATGGCGGCAGGATCAAGTTCGTATTGTTCGGTGACCGTCCCCGGGGCTCGTTCAGAAGCAGTTGCCGAAGGTCGTCCTTATGCGTCAAAAAGTGTTGAAGTTTGTGCCACATAGTAGGTGCTGGCACGTCCAAAACTCCGCCGGTAATGACGTCGCCAACCTCTCCCTCAGCGTGGCATCCGACCACTGTGATGGTACGTGTAGATCGCATGGCTGTGACTGCTCAGGCTGTCGATAACCTGGCTGTGAGTGGTTGCAGAATACGAAATGACGTTCCAGTCTATTACAGTTGAATAGAGGGACTCTGAAGCCACGACGATTTGTCTATGCACCTCTCAAGAAGGGTTTAAGCAACTCCAGTAACCGGCGTTTATACCGGGAATTCGGACCCCACTCCGACTCTTTTAACCCCCCGACGGATGGTGTCGCCGAAGCCTGCCCGTTATCTCGAAACCCACCTAATTACCCCGCAAAAAATGGGCGATGACCGTGAAAACCTACCATATCCAAATGGGCTTGGGAATCATCTACAAGTAAAGCAAAAGAGCTTATGAATAGGAGGACGCGTCATGGGTAACCAAGCACAATCACACTGTCAGAATAGGCTAGCTAGCCTGCCAGCAGGACAAGCCTATGCTGGAGGCTGGACACACCAAAGCTTTTGTTAAGGTTAAGATCAGGAGGGTGAACACTGTGAAATGGACAAAACGCACACATAGACGGTCGCAGTTGATTCCATCCGATGCCTTGCAAACAATTTCGGAGTCGCTTCCGTAAATCAAACCCGCCAACCCCGAAGAGTTAGAGACATGATCCAGCAGATCACATTTTCCATTTATTAAGTGGCAGCCTAGTTTTGCATCAACCTGAGACCGGCGGTTGGGGTACGTCGACGAGAAAACTCGCATTTTGAAGCAACCAAATGGCGTGTTTGGGCGTCGTAGGGCTGAGAGATCACATTAAGACGGCCTAGTAAACGACATGATGCATCTCAAACCATCAGATGTGTTGAGGCGTACACCTAATCAGGCGGAATCAGTTGTTCTGATCGGATGACTTTCTGTAGCTAAGGCCGTTCAGCTCCATGCCGAGGCCTTTTGGCCTGTCTCTCGCAAGCATCGCCTTGCCGATCTTTTCTGGGCGCCGCTGGCGTGTCCTTGTCTTCTTGAGCTGTGGCCGCGCTGTGGGTGTACAGGGATGCGGGGGCTTTAGAAGGCCATGGCTTCCAGCGGGAACCACCCGTCATCCCTTCCACGTGCATACTTATTGAGATAGCCGTCGCGAATTGACGTTGGATTACGGCGTGGGAGCGATAAACCGTTGTCCCGGAGCCACTGATATGCATCCGGGATGCGTCGGATGTAGACCCAATTGCGGTGCTCATGTCATCTTCAGGGGTCGGCAATGCCTTCAGGGAGGATGGTGTAGGCAGCTGAGACGTGGCATACTTCCAGTCTCCCGGGCTAATTGCCATCCACGGGCGCCCGCGGAACACCATGCATTGCGGCATATTTGAGAGAGAGAATTGCAGTGAAAACCTGTTTTGTAAAGTCGAATGCACTTCTGCGTGTGCCTGTATCTGATGGTTGCTCGAGCATATCCAATAGAAGCCCTTAGATACCAGCTGGTGGCTTTGAGTTTGTATGTGCGTGAAATTGGCACAGAAAACACGATGCCAGGATACCATCCTCCGGGAAGTATGAGTTCTCCGACAAACAAGGCGAATCAACCGTGTCCCCTCGCAGCGGGCCGATGTCAAGGCTTTGCCAGGGCAGTGAAGTCATCGGCTGAGCATACTGGGGCCATCTCCGTCGGCCTTTCTGATTTGATGTTCCTCGAGACAATAGCCCCCAATATGATGCCGTCCCCGCCGTGGCTGCATTTCCTAGGGCTGATTGGAGATAGATCGGCGGTTACCCATCTTACACCTGGGGCGGAGTACAGAAGGTCACCCAAGACATACAGTCTAAGCCCGATTAGGGGAAAATAAGTACACTGTGGGACTTGAGGCTGACATTTTGGCGGCCAACAAGGCATCCAGCAGTCGTGGAGTGAAGACTGTATAAGAATCCCCGAGCCGAAGCGGACCTGATCCCGAGCCCTCCACACTCAATATCGCCCTTCCTTGTTCCGTTTACTTCGTCTTGCTCGATCTGGAAACGTCTGTCCGCCACCTGTCACCCACATCGGAGGTTACTTGCAGCTTTACGGCCCAACCCGCGCGCCGGCTCGCGCCAACGAAGCTCTGATCAGCTCGACGTCAACCCAAACACTACTAATGACATCGCCAATAACCATGTCAAGCTCGCCTGACTCTTCATCGTCACCGGAAGCCCCAGAGCGACGCCGTTGCTGGGAATGCCTTCGTCGTCGATTAGTCTGTGATGCAACACGGCCTGTGTGCAACAAGTGCCGGGTTGCGGGCATTGTGTGTCCAGGATACGATGACAAGAAACCGCTGACTTGGCTCGCTCCTGGCAAGGTAACTTGTCGTACACGGCGCAAGAAGAGTACCACCGTCAGCATCAAACCAACAACGAAACCCAAGACCCCGAAGCCACCCAAGCAGCCTAAGCACAAGCATTTTGAAGTCGGAACAGATATTTTCAATGGTGTTGAATGTGTTTTCCATGCTCCGTTAAGAACGGATGTTTGTGACGTTTATGATGCTGTACAGTACTGTGAGTCTCCAACGGCGGTCCCCTAACAGTCGAATCGAAAATGAACACAAATTGAATTGATCTCTCAAGAAGTTACTAATATGAATATTAGACAACGCCGTCTTCTACCCTCACACCGCCGCTGGTCACAGGAATGGCATAGCGAACGTCTTTGTAGACGCGATACCCATCAACATTGTCCGTTTCCTACCAACGGCCATTGCGCACAATATGGTTTCCATTGTCTTCCAACATAAAATGTGTGTACAAACACAGTGGAAACCCGACTGTCCCTCCCTCAAACATGCAGAAGCCCGTTTGCACCACCATCGAGGGCTTGCAATTCGTGCTCTAAACGAAGATATCGCCAATGAAAAGACTCAGAGCAGCGATGTTGTACTGACAGGTGTCATTCTCCTGCTCCAGTCAGAAGTACGTTACATTTCGCTGTCTGTTTCCGCGCCACTCGTGCTAAGTGAGTTGCCTTACAGATACAGTCGTGCCTTTCGCCAAATTGGAGATACCATGTCAACGGCCTCCTAGCAATGCTTGCTTGCCGTGGGGGTGCCATAGGCTGGATGAGAGAGGTTCCAATTCTCAAGGGAATCCTTCTATCCTTTCTGATGTATGCGATTGATAAAACCACAGTATTCTGCCATTGGAAAGCATGAGCTCACGAGTCTTATAGAACTGCCACGTTCGCAAATACTACCAGCCCGTCCCACGATCACGTCAGAATAGCGTCGCACGAAGGGCTACTTATGCTTACCGATGAGCTGTATCCACTCGGTTTGCATCCCAATATGCCCTGCCCGATGGCTCTATTCGAGGAAATCATTCGCATTAACCACGTTCGGGATGGTGTCTCCAATGGCTTCATGAGCAAGGATACTGCGAGGTCTATCGCAGATAACATCGTGAAGAACATCGAAGCCTTTGACGCCCGAACGTGGGAGGGATTCTATGCGCAGCATGAACACAATGAGCTGATTGGGCTCATGTTTCAATCTGCAGTCGCCGTCTTCTGCCTGTCAGCCCTGAAGAGTATCTTAGTCTTTCAGTCGTCAAGTCGCTTGAGGGTCCATAGCGACCGTCTATACTCTTTTTTGGAAGAAGGGAAGAAGTATCCAGTGCTTCAGAAGTCGGTCCAGTGGCCATTGATTGTGGCTGGAGTTGAGGCTGGAGCCCGTGTGGATAAGCGAGGGTTGGTTGGTGAACTTTTCCTGGAGCAGAGCAAAGATGTTGGTACACCGTTGCCAATGCATGCGAAGGGGGTGATACGGAGCTTTTGGGACGGTAACCTTACGAACTGGGACGCTTGTTTCGACAAGCCATACGCTTTTGTTTCATAGAAACCAATTGCCTGCATCATAAGCAGGGGCAAGTTTAGTCTAGCCCTTTAGAGTTTGAATATCGACTAGGCAAAAGTCCAGTCTGCCAAAGAATGTGCCAATGAATGTTTCTCGCTGAGTTGTGTACAATATGCAGGCTTTGAGGACCCTCTGGTGTGTTTTCTGTCGCAAACATATGTGGTTAGTTGCATTGGCAAACTTCAACATCAAAGACCAGAAGAGTATTAATTGATAGGTGATGAGGCCAAAGAAGAAGACGGATGGATCCTTAATTTCTTGTGGCGTGGGTCTCTTACCCGCAGGACTTTAGAGCCATTAGCTTACGGGCTGTCAAGTATAATGGCGAAGAAGCCAACAAGACGATTGTTTGTATTCCAAAAGATGCACGAACTAAAATAACAAAACATCTAGCTACGAAGAACCTGTAGAGTTGAAGTCGAAATACGCACGGTGTCATGAAGACTGGATCAATCCTAATTGGTTCTTACTCCGATTCGAAGCCAATCTCGGGCAACAACTGGTTCCACGACACCATCACATCTGTGACGTTTTTGAACGGTGTAACGTCGACGTCGCACACGGTGTCAGGGTCCGGAAGTTCTCCCTGGTCAAAGTACCTCTGCATGGCCTTTGCAGTGCAAACTGACGGCTGAGCTCTCCAACCATGCTGTTCAAAACACGTCAGTGATTCTCTCCTATGAATAAGGCAAGATCATGAGTCAACGGGGATGAAAACTTACTCCATAGCCGTTGGATTTCAACAGAACGCTACCATCAAAGCTTGCGGTAACATTTTCTGCCGACAGGTGTGAGGTTGACCCATCTAAAGAGTGGGTGAAGACGAGTATTGGGTTCTTAGTTTTGATGTTGTTGAAACCCCCCTCGTACCTTTCCCTTGGCTTGATCTTCCACTGGGCACACTTCATTTGGACTTTGATCAGCACAAGCCCAGTTGTGCGACTGGCATTCGTAATTTTGTCGATTGCTGGCTGGAAGGCTTCCAAGTCATCGGTGCGAAACCCAGCGTCGGCGCATTGGATGCCGGTCGCGGAGTCATCCCCGGCACCTCCTGCATCCTCGCCGGTTCCATCAGTCTCAACACCCAGAAGCTGAAAGTATCCGAGCGCAATGCCGGTTTCGTTTCTCGTAAACAAGTCATTGAGCCATACTGTAAGCAAAGGCCAGGTCCTCGGGTCGTTCAGCTGTGGGCGAACTGCCGCCGCTATCGCCGTCCTGTCGATGACCGTAGATCCCACAACTATTGGACGCAATTTTGCCTCTTCCATGACCGAAAAGAATTCCTCGCGAAGACTGTCCACTGTCTGATTGCCACCAGAAAATGGGCAACTATCTCCAGAATTGAGACAGGTCTGGAAAATTGCGTCGAGACTAGGATCGGCATCCATGGCCCATTCAGAATTCCTGAGAAAAGGGTATCAGTATCGTATCATAATCCCAGAATGGAGAAAATAACATACAGGCCGTAGTACCATTCGTGTGGATTCACGACTCCATCAAGGACAACTTTGTCCATACGTCCAGGGAACATAGCAGCCACGGTTGCGCCCAAAATTGTCCCATAAGAAGTTCCTGTTGGCGAAATGTTAGCTCCGACGACAGTCTATGCGACGTGGAGTCTTGTAAATGGAAGTACCCTACCCCAATATCTCAGCATTCCGTCATCATCAAGAGCGTCCACAATCTTCATCGCATCTCTAGCGGTATACGCTGTTGAAATACGGCTCCCAGCTTCGCTAGCGCCAGGATCGAGAGCACACGTGTTGGCCTCGCCCCCGGCATACGCCCAATGTGATCCCACCATCGCTGGATCCGAGTTATTTCCCATAGGACCTGGCAGAGAATTGAAGATGCTCCTTAAAGTACTACTCTGATAACATAAGAACGTTGTGGTATTTCCGACGCCTCTGTCAATGTACTGTTAGCTACTTGAACTTGGAACGGGCGTTCGAAATGCAACATCAGAGACATAACCGAAGGACGTGTCGCACCTTGGGTCCCAGGTAATGAGATCATGATTTCCTCCAGTGGTCCTTGGCAATTGTCAACAGTTAAATCAACATCTTGACTTCAATTTCTTACGCTTGGAGAAGATAGCTTCGCGAAGCTAGGCGATCCCGTGCGGGAACCCCAGGTCCACCAAAGTTGAACAGGATGCTCCCCTTCGAGGGCCCCTTGATAGCAGGGACTTTGAGCAGTTCCAGCTGAAAGGTTTCGCTTGAATTGGAGCTGACGTAGTCCAGTGGGACAGTCAGATTCCCGCATTGAACGGGGGCTTTGTTGTTTTGGCTCGGCAGCCAGTCCGGGCAAGGTCCCCATTCGACTGTTTCGCTTCGGGCGTGATTCAATGCAGAGGCTGAGGCAGGAGCTGCTACGGCCAAAAGCAAAGTGAAAAGCTCGTTTACACGAAACATGGTAAACTTGATGCGCAGTCAATGAAGATGAAGTGACAGGTTGCAATGCGGCGTTGAGCTCACCCAAAAACTGGGTGCAGCATCATTATCACAAATATATACACATATATATATCTACTTGATACCTTTTTCTCCCGTTGCTTACTTGGCTGGAAAAGACAGCATGTCGTCATAGTTGAACAGGGCTGCCTAGTCGCGAGATGTATATGAGCCAAAAACAGAAATCACTTGGTGAGTCGTGGCTGACAATAGGCATGGAAATGGAAAGCAACTTGGGAGACTGATTGGCGGATGCATCGGTGCCTGCTCCACAATCTTCATTTTTCAGCGAATGTGTACACCTTATTTCCTCTTCGGGGAAATATGAGCCACTTGGCTAGCGGCATATCATCTCTGGAATGACCAAATGCCAAGCTACTAACGGACCATGTCGAATGAAGTTGCAGATTCCACGAGGCAGTGTTCTGTGATAGAGGATGAATAATCGTGCTTTGTGAGAGACTTCGGTTGGCACCGCGCAGAATTGCCCTTACGCCGATTTGAGCATAACGCAGGCACAGAGAGGATAGTGATTGAGTCGTACCAAGGCAGAGTCGCTCCGGAGCATCAGAAGCTGTTCTGCTCATACAGTAGTCTCGGCGACTTACCATGTCACCCGCGTTATTCCATCTGTCGGCCCAGTCATTTGCGGGGCTCGGCCGGTAGCCAAATAGGGTCGGGGCCGAGTGGGGCCGGCACGGCACCGGATTAGCCTGAGTCCAATGACCCAGAAATAGTTTAATATTGAGCCTTACCTCTGAGTTCATCTCAGAATGTTGCAATATATATGCGATGGGACTACAATTATGCTTGATGCATTATGTTTCTTTGGTCTGCTTCTTACACCGCCATGATATTTTGTGATACCGAGCTTACACTGAATCGCGTACGTTTGAAGATATTCTAGCAGACTCTGAAGGCTTCGGGTATTTCCTTGCTAGGGCACTCATCGTCTTGATGAATATTTCCGCCCATGGCCACCCGCTGAGCGGATAAGTTGCGACGCATTAATCTTTGTTCGCAAGCAACACGAAGTGCCTAGTACAAAACTTACCAGTAGCGACTAGCTTCCGAAATTCAAAGTGATACGACACACGGACATCTTTCGCATTTGGCGTGAACTTTATCCGATCTAAGCGTTTGATTGATTGGCGGGAACTCTGATCGCCATGTGCCGTTTCTCTTCGCGCTAATCACGACAAGCCTAGATCGACTTTCGATCTTTACTACCCGAGGGATACCCATGCTTCCGTGGTCTCCGCGGAGGGGTTGAGAAGCAATTGAAAGACCTCAAAACCGGAGCATCATCACTGGGCAGCAAGAATGTGCCATTGTTGTCTTCCACAACCTGATCCGGAGGTTCTGTTGTTGGTCATCTTGACCATTTCATTGCCAATTGGATAAGTGGAATCATCGGAGCGATAGTGATCTCGATAATGCTCGTCGCCGGCCTTGAACCGGGGGAGTCTTCCCTGGCATCCCCGGATGTACTTCAGTTTTTCCCTGAGTGCGCGGTAAGGTTACGTTCTGTTCATATTGTCTGCCCACTGGCGGCTGGTAGTAGACTATGCAACCAGGACCTAAGTCTTTCCATTCAATGCTAAGTTTACTAGGGTCGCTGCATATCCAATGCCATGGCTTCATCGCCAGTGGCAGGGTCTTCAATTCCTTTCCTTTGTGCCGATTCGCAGTTTTACACTGCTGTTGGATGCGCATTTCAAAACTGCACTGTAATCAATGGCTTGAGTGAGTGCCTAGTCCAAGAAATCATTTCGTTACAATTGGACGCCGAATGGCTGCAACATTTTGAATCCGTCGACTAGAATACTAACTCAAATGTGGTAGAAACACAGAGAATTCTCTCTGGTATTTGTGGTTTACCAGTTCGCGACAAGGGTACCTCTGCTACTGCGAGCGCTGTTGCCGGCGCGCTTGTCGCCGTCGTCAGCGTTGGCATCCGCGAATATTCGCAGCTCTCCCGGTTCGATTACAGCATAGGACTTGATGACTACGCTCTGATATTTACCATGGTTTGTTATTTCTGACAGTACTGTCAAGCTCAAAATGCTAACTGCCATGTGTTGTGGTAGGCAATGTCTGTGCCCATGAGCATTCTAGTTGTCATTAGTAAGTATTCTTGATGATACTTGCCGCTCTCAACTAACAGGCCTTCCTAGCTGTCCAGTCAGGACTCGGGAAAGATATATATACACTCACGCCGGATCAGATCAATGAGTTTTTCAAAGTTAGTAAAGGCCTGCTCAATCCCTGCCAACTGCTAACTTGCAATAGCTCTTCTACATCAGTGAACACTTCTACGCATTTACAGTTCTGTTTGCCAAAACGAACTTCCTCTTCTTCTACCTTCGTCTTTTTTCCGATGAACGGTTCCGAAAACTTACTTGGGGTGTCATTTGGGCGTGCATCGCCTCAGCACTTTCTTTCTTCGTCGCCACCATGTTTCAATGCTGGCCAATCAGCTACACTTGGACTCGGTGGGACGGGGAACACCATGGTCGCTGCCACGATATCAACCTCCAGACTTGGGCCCACGCCAGTGTCAACATTGCATTGGATGTAATTGTGGTTAGCATGCCGATCTCCCAAATAATGCGGTTGAACTGGCGGTGGAGGCAAAAGATTGGCGCCGGAATGATGTTCGCAGTCGCACTTTTGTAAGTTCAAATGATGCATACTCCCGCTGCACAGAATAATGACTGACCTTGTGCAGAATTACTCTCGTGTCTGTGCTTCGGCTTAGCACAATCAACGACTTCATGAAAACATCCAATCCTACTTGTGAGTCTCAAGTTCGGCCAAGAACCTCTCATTCGATACTCATTTCGATACTCATGCCAAGACTTTAGGGGACATTGTTCCAATCTCGAACTGGTCGTTTGTTGAGTTAAACGGCTTCATCTTCTGCTCCTGCATGCCCGCTTTCCGAGATTACTTCCGTCGAATGTTCCGTCGCAGGAGACAAACGATGGTGGAACCCGCGTTTACTAATGGCGGTGTCATGCGAACTATTGGAAATGCCACTATTCGAAGACGCAATAGACTTCATGAGCTTGTGTCTATTGATAGCGATGAAAATGAACCAGAGCACCAATTGGAGGACATTGGACAAAGAGATCCAGCAGTTGGGCGACTGTCCACTGGCGTTGCTACCCCTGTTTCTACACCTAATGCTCGTTCCGATGAAGCATTCCCAGCTCAAAATGGGGCCTCATCGGATGAGATCACGGCTGATTCATCACAACCTGAAGAGATGGATTTGACGGATCTGAAGCATCTCGCAACTTTAGTGTCTGCCGGTGGAGGAGAGTAGCACGCACGGGTGATTAATATAAACCTGTCGCACATTCGAATTTCATGCGTCTTTTCACGCGCGTTGCAGGGTTCTTGGAGTCTGACAAATGCCGCAATAAATATTTCAGCTGCCACAGCAGAGATACGATGACGTATGGCCGAGCTTCTTTCAATTCGCAGCTCACCAGCACAGCCTAGTAATTTCCACTACCTAGGCTTTCCTTTTCGCGCAGCTATAGATGGTCAGAGGTCTTGGCGGACTGTGGTTGCTTTGAAGGGCTGATGGGCTTGGGTTGGCGGGCCCTTGGCCAGGGGTACATACCTTCGGGATAAGTTGGTCAGCTTACATCGTTTAATCCGAAAGTAAGCCAGCCACCGCTGGTGCTTTGGTGGCTATGGTCCGTAACTCCGACATCAACTTGCTGCGCCCAATCGCAAGTCCGACCACCAGCAGCATGGTGGTCTTGGAAGACAGACTACAGCGATGAAGGATTCATGAACCGGCCTGCTCAGCCACCTATTTGCGCATTCGCAGAAGCATGTTTGACGAAGACGATGATGATCAACACTTGGCAGAGGCCATAACGATGCCCCAAGGTTGCGCGTCTCACGGTAGAGACATTCATCTCAGCGAAAGATCTTTGTTCAACAGAAGGTCTTCAGAAGGTCTTGGCAGCAAATCATATATAAGACATGTATTTCACCAGTTCAGCTCAACAATTGGATACCGCCCTACATCCAAAAACTGTGATTGAAACCTCATCTACACACGATGACGAAGCTTTTCACTCTTGCCTCCGTTCTACTCTTCAGTAGCAGCGTTACTGGAAGTCTGTTCAACGATACAGCCTATGACTATGTCGTCGTAGGCTCAGGACCTGGAGGCGGCACTTTGGCGTAAGACTTCTCTTCCGTTTTCTCTTCTGTTACTGACACTTTTCAGCGCAAGCCTGGCTCGCGAGGGTCACTCTGTCTTCCTCATTGAGGCTGGAGGCAACATGGGTGACAACAATCTTCAACGGATCCCCGGATTGTGAGTGATAGATTGCTCAGTATACACAGCTCTGTTCTCATGGTCTTCATTCACAGGGCGGATGTCAACTCGGAGCACCCGGAGATGTCTTGGCAGTTTTTTGTGTCTCACTACCAGAATGAGACTCAAGCTCGTCGCGATCGCTACTTCACCTACCGTCTTTCAAACGGCACTCTCTGGTATGGCATCGACGCTCCCGAGGATGCAACCCCGTAAGTCACGTACCGAGTCGATCTTAGGATAAACATTGATCATGGCTTTAGACTTGGCATATACTATCCCAGAGGAGCTACCGTTGGGGGCTCAGCTATAGCGAATGCCATGAATGTGGTTCTCCCTCCCGACAGTGACTGGAACCACTTCGCGGAGGTTTCAGGCGATCAATCCTGGGGCCCTGAAAATATGAGGTCAATGTTTGTCGAGCTTGAGAGAAACAACTACGTACCTGAAGGGACCCCAGGCCACGGCTTTGGCGGATATCTTTCGGTAGGAAGCCCCCAACCTCTTGCCATGACCCCTAAGCCAACGGAAATCAGACGAACCGAAACAACATTTCATATGTAGTCGACCGCCCGGGTGTCCTTGGTGTGGTTCAAAATGCCATTTCACAGACGGAGGGCATAGAAGCACCTGATTCCGAACAAGTCGTCAAGTTGATGGAAAGGGATCTAAACCGCCCTGACAGCGATCGCTATGAGATCCCTGGCTTATATCAGATACCCTTACATGTTGACGAGAACCGCCGCAGAAGCAGCCCTTGGAACTACGTCGCCGAGACTTTAGCTTCGAGGAGTGAAGATGGAAAGCCACTATACCCTTTGACCTTGAGTACCCACAGCCTTGCGACTCGAATTCTGATGAAGAAGTCCGGCGCTGGCTTGAAAGCCTATGGCGTGGAGTACATGGTTGGCGAAGGTCTTTATGAGGCCGACCAACGATATGATCCCTCGATCGAGCCCCAGTTACGTACTGTTAGGGCCAAGAAAGAAGTAATTATCTCAGGTGGCGCATTCAACACACCTCAGATCCTCAAGCTCAGTGGAATTGGACCTCGACAAGAGTTGGAGAAATTCGGCATCCCAGTTGCCGTTGAACTTCCTGCCGTCGTAAGCACTGGCTTCCCCGCAAGAAGTCCCTTCACACTAACGAATTCATCAGGGGGGTTTTCTCCAGGACAACTATGAGGCAGGCATCAACGTTCGGTCCAACATCGCATGGGAGAACAGCCCCTTCGCAGAATGCACGCCTGACAGCCCGGAGACCGACCCCTGCCTTGCACAATGGGGGGCCGGCTATGGCGCATATGGCGAGGCCGCTGCTCCCATCTTCATGCTGTATCGCTCCAACCACTCCAGGAACGCAGATTCTGATTTAATATTGTTTGGCGGGGCCGGTGGCGTGTTTGATGGTCACTACCCTGGGTTCAGCGAGATTACTTGGCCGCCGACATCTTTCTTCTGGGTTGCCGCAAAGATGCAAAATGGCAATCCGACAGGCACCGTCAGACTTCGATCGTCCAACCCCCGAGAGACCCCGGAGATCAACTTCAACTTTTATCAAGAAGACTCCGATGTCGATGTTGCCGCTCTTTCTGAGGGCCTGAACCATCTCATGTCCATCATGAACGCCACGGGAGAGCCGTATCAGCCGTTCGAGGTGATCGACCCACCGGCAGATCGTTCAATTGAGCAGCACATCCGAGATCACACTTTTAGCCACCATGCCGTTGGCAGTTGCAGAATGGGTAAGAGCAGCTCAGACAGCTGTGTCGATTCAAAGTTCCGAGTCCATGGTGTTCAGGGACTTAGAGTTGTCGATGGCTCAGTTTTCCCCAGAGTGCCTGGCGGGTTCCCCGTTGGTGCAACATACGCTGTCAGTCGGAAGGCATTCCATGACATCGCCAACAATAGTGACGAGTGACGGTCTAATAGTCGGTCTTTATGATTGCATCTGGATTTGACTGAGTGTAACAAGGATTCATGGGGTTTCATTGTCGATACAGGTCTGGGTTTCTTCCTCTTTCTCGTCACTAGTAAGGCCATGGAAAGTTGCAGTAGAGTCATCGTAGTTGAAGACTAATAAATGGTTTTTCCCCTGATACTCAAATTTTCGGCTCTCATAGTACGCCATCCCAGGCGAGGACCGCGATTGTGGAGCGCGACTCGGCAAGTGCATTTCTGACGTCCAGGGCTCTGTATGGTATTTTCCTTCCAGCCTTTCACCTAACGGTTTAAGGGCCTTGGCATCCATTCGCCCGGCGTGGATCACCGAGTAGCCGGTAAACGCCGCGCATGAGTCAAGACATTCCCGAATAGCAGACACAAATAGACGAATAAGGATCGGCGTTTGCAACCATTCAGTTCGGATTTGTCTATTCGGGCCTTAGACTGAACTGAAAACCTTACAGCAAAAGATTATCGTACGAGCAGAACATTCTTGAATATACTGCTGAGATGAAATGCTTGCTAACGTTCGGGGTCGCGAGGTTGCATGCTGACCAGGCTCAATTTCTTTTCTAAAAGTCATAACCATTCTTTCTCGAGCATAATTCTATACCGAGGACACACCTCTTCAGAACGTCCCTGAGATCTTGAGACCTGAGGAAGCATTTGACTAACAAGCACCATCTAGTCTACTGAATCCCCCATACCTCTATGATTTGAGGTTACTTGGCTCAATTGCATCATAATCTTTAATGGCGCATTCAAGCCATTTCAAAGGCCGAAGTATCAACCTTTTCCATAAAGACATCCCAAATAGCTTGGTTCATCATCCCACGAGATTGCGTGATAGCGGGGGGACATCGCGCATTGGTGGGGCCAATCCTGAAGAACGATCCAACATTGGAGTGACAAAAACTCGAGTCAATTGCGCCTTTCGAGCGCTTCATCACCGGCTCCACTGCAGATTGTTAGAGTGTGCAATAAAAGCCATGAGGCTGCAGCGACTGGTCTCAGGTATTCTGCATGTGGCTTCGTTGCTTTACACGCTCTGACTGGATGGTCCTTGGTCGTTACATCCCAGCCCATTAGCAGACAGCGCCTACACGATGGCCGACGAAAAGGAGATTCAGCCTTCGGTGAAAAGCCCCCCAAAGGGCAAGACTGTCAGCGAGAAGAACGCCGACGTCACATTGCGGCTACTTGAGCAGCACGGCGATGATTTCGGTCCACTTACCCCCGAAGCGGAGAAGAAGCTGCGTCGGAAGTTGTACTGGCGCATCATGACGCTTCTTTCTGCTATCAATATTATGCTTTTCGTAAGTTACATTCGCAATACGAAAGCCATGGTCGATACTAATTTCGTCTTCCTTCTTTAGGTCGACAAGTCAACACTGGGATATGCTGCCATCTTGGGTCTCTTCGAGGAGACCGGTATTAGGCAAGCGCAGTACAACAACCTGAACACCATGTTCTACGTCGGTATGGATACCTGCTCGAATCCTACGTAGCAAATGCTCACTCTTCATAGGTTACTTGGCTTTCCAATGGCCTGGTCACTATCTGATGCAACGGTTGCCTTTCGGCAAATACGTTGCAATCACTGTCTTCATTTGGGCAGTGATCATCTTCCTCCACTGTGTCGCAACTCGATACGCTGGACTTGTGGTGATGAGACTCGCTCTCGGCGCTGCAGAAGCCGTGATTGTACCCGCAATGGAAGTCACTATCGGCATGTTCTTCAACCGGCATGAACAGTCTTTCCTACAGCCCGTGCTGTGGATCACCTGTCAAGCAGCGCCCATCCTGACCGGTTTTATCTCCTACGGCTTGCTATGGAGCACTGGCCCGGTCCTACCCTGGAAGCTTCTTCATATCGTTACCGGCGGCCTGACCCTCATACTCGCCATATGGGTGTGGATAGACTACCCCAGCAACCCTGCCGAGGCGCGGTTCCTCACCCTCGAAGAAAAGGTCCAGGTCATTCGCCGCGTACACAAAGCCCAGCAAAGTTCGATTGAGCAGAAGCATTTCAAGAAGGAGCAG